TAAGAAGAGGGAGAGGGGGGAGTAAGAAGGAGGGGAGATAAGAAAAAGAGGGGGGTAAGAAGAAGAAGAAGGGGTGAGTAAGAAAAAGAGTGGGGAGTAAGAAGAAGAAGAGTGGGGAGTAAGAAGAAGAAGAGGGGGTAAGAAGAAGGGTGAGTATGAAGAAATGGGGGGAGTAAGAAGAAGAAGGGGGAGGAAGAGGAAGTGGGGGTAAGAAGAACAGGTGGGGAGTAAGACGACCAAGGGGGGAAGTAAGAAGAACAGGTGGGGGGTAAGAAGAACACACAGGGAGGAGGGGGGTAAGACGAACACAGGGGGTGTGAGGAGAACACATAGAGGGAGGAGTGAGAAGAGCACAGGGAGGGTGGGTGAGTGTGAGAAGAGACCGCTAGGGGAGGGTGGGGGAGAGGAGAGACCACTAAGGTGCAGGGGAGAGCTCTATGGGACAGAAGGGGCAGCTCTATAGGACAGGGGCCAAGACAGGGAGCTCTTTCACACTACGCGCGCGCACACACACACAATGCATCCCTATACATACACAGAAACACAACATGCTTCCCTTACACACAGAGAAACACACAATGCATCCATTACACACACACACACAATGCAACCCTTACACACAAAGACAATGCATCCTTTGCACACATACACAGAAACAGACAATGCAAACCCGTACACACACATGCAAACACACACACTTCTTTTCTTACATACACACAGAAACACAATGCATCTCTTACACTCAATGCACACACATACAGACACACACCTTGCATCCCTTATGCATACAAACACAGATTCACACAATGCATCCCTTACACACAACCAGAAACACATAATACATCCCTTATACACAAATACACACTGCTTCCACTACACACAAACACACTACATCACCTGCACAAACTGGTAACCCTATACACTACATACCATAAGCACACATATTAGATCCTCTTCAATAACACATAACATATCCCCTACACACTCCACTCCCTGTGAGCGAACTCATGGGTGGGTGGAACTTATGAGTGGGCCTTATGGGCATACTCACCGTCAGGCCCTGGGGCCCAGACCCCAAAAAATGGAGCTGCTTCTAATTCTCCCAGAACATTGAATTTTGTGACCACAGTTGCAAACAGCCTCCAGAGATCCTGTTCAACACCAGACCAGTGGAGCCAAACTGCAGCCCATCATCATCCTCATCTGCTTGTAAGTAGGCAATCTAGTATATTATTAGTGACACTAATCTATAATGTACCTCACATTAAAGGGACACTATAGCTTAATGAAGTGGTTCTGGTGTCTATAGCTGGTCCCTGCAGGCTTTTTAATGTAAACACACACTGTGTGCAGCACTGGCGTTAGTTCATATGGGTGGGGCATTAGTTGGACTGAAACATTGATTACATGCAAAGGCACATCTGCTTAAAATAAATCTGCACTTTTGTTTATTTTGAAGCCTATGAGTGCGCTTTTTACGTTGAAGTACTTTTTAATTTTAAGTTATCTGTTCTAACTCTGTATCTGCACACTATGCTGGCGCGATGCATTATGGGGCTGGTAAATATTTTTTTTCCAGGGCTGCTTTTAATTCCCAGTCCGGCCCTGCTGGAGGGTGAGTGGTGAGAGGTCCTGGAACAGTGACAGCTCTGTGTCTTTATAGCGTATTGGGCCTTCCCCTGCTTTTTGCCATTAGGGGTTCTTTAGTTTGAAAGAATTGAAAATGCATGATCACATCCCTGGGCTGCATATTGTCAGCTCCCAAGGCTCTGTCAATATGCCATAGTTCCCCCGGAATGTCTGGGCACAGGGGTCTCAGGATAGGAAGTACAATGTCCGCCATTGGTCCCTCACCCTCTCGCTCCTGTAAGCCTCCAAGGCACCTAGTCCTATTAGCTAGGTCTTCAATGGTAGATTACGCTGTTTGGAGCCTGGCTGTGAGTGAGGAGACTCTGTCCACCACCAGGTCATGGCCTGTAGCTGCCTCTTCTAATTTTTGCTCCAGGATTGCCGTCCGTGCCCCCAGAGCGTGTATTTCAGCTTTAACTTAGCTTGTGGAGCGGGTAATCTCCCTTGCCAGATAGGAGCTTACTTCCGACAGCTTCTGGAGGATTTGGGCTGTGTTAGGCTGCGGCATGGAGGATCCACAGTCCTCTTCATCGTCTGAGGTTTCTTCAGAGGTAATCAGTGGTGGTTGGCTGCCATTTTGACTCCCGGCCTGAGCCACACGGGAGGCCACAAACAGGTCCATCACCTTCGCGCCAGCTTCCAACCCCTTTTTGGGGTGCTTGTGTGTGGTGCATTTATCCATGTGGCTGTTGCGCCTATAGTAAGGTAGGGTTCTGCCATTCTGATGCTTTTGTGAGCTGTGTATTCTGAGCGGAGCTTCACTCACACTGTCCAGCCCAGTTGACGGTCGGACCACACTCCCATTTGTTTTACGTTAAACAAAAATAAGGAGGAGAGAGGGGAGTTAGCTCGGTAGAGCTGTAACAAGAATATGAGAGGATGGGGTGGAGAGAGAGTGGGGTTGTGTTTCCCTTGTCAGAGAGTTGTTGTTGGCTTGATAGCTGCAGTGCATATGTGATAGTTTCCCATGAGCGTTCCATGCATCAAGGTCTCACAGTTGTTGCATTTTCAGATCAACTACATCCGTTTCATGGGATGTCCTGGCTGAAATCAGAAATCTGTTTGGGCACTGACACAGTAGAGGCTATGGACACAGCTGCAAGAGGGGTTGAGGCTCTGAGGTGCATTTCATGCTCATTTATGGAGGGGGACAAGGTGCTATGGGTTTTGTTTATATAATGGTCCTATTGTGACCATGTCTGTTTCCAGAATTTTGCAGGATACATTGCTGTGCTGGCCATACTTTCATAAATTTGTATAGAAGATACCTGGGCAATGCACTCCTTCATTGTTGGGGCAGAGGCTTTCAGCCAGTTTCTGCTTATGATCATGAGGGCTGCTATTAATATATAATATATTAAGTACTCATGCCATTTAGGTAGAGGTTTTGGCAGGAGGAGAAGCAGGCAAGCTTCCATGAAGCCTGGTAAATTAATGCCTGTGTAGTTTTGGGTCAGTTTATGTATATCTGCCCAGTATGTGGATAAGTTGGGGCAAGACCACCATATACGGAGCATGGAGCCTTTGCCCGACTGGCATCTTTAGCATCTGTCAGCGTTTGGGGGTCTGAATGCTTCAGTCTAGTAGGTGCCATGCACCAGCGGTAGAGGATTTTCCTTGCTAACTCCATATTGGAGTTGCAAATTGTGGGGATATTTATGGGATGATAATATTAAACAGTCGAGAATTGCCCACTATTTCAATTCTCTTAGATCTTAGAGATCGTAATCATATAAGTGAAATGTATTCCATAAATAAAATCACAATTTGTTATAAAAATAGATTTAATTTATTGTAACAATTAATTAACAATAATATTAGGCAGCATGCATGATAATAATCAGTGAATATTTAGTATAACATAAGTATGCAATACAATGGAATGGCTATACACGTTCCAATGGCTAACAGCATCTTCTGTCACTTAAGATTTATGAGGGTACTTCATGGACAAAAGTATAGCTTCACACAGCGAAAAAAGCCATAAAACCTTGGCTAACAGTAAAATCAACTGAGTAAACCTTTCAATGCTGGCTAGATCCTCCTAGGCATATAATATCCTATTCTCCTGTGATTTTCAATTAAAATAACATTTAAACCAGCTCATTAATCATTTCCTGGAACCATCCAATAAGAATAATCTACCAGATTTTTACAAAAGCCGAATTTTAGTTTGCCTAAAAAGATATCTTATCTTATTTTAGAGCAAATCAATACACCTGGATAAAAACAGCAGTATGCTAACACGTGATACTATCACATTAATATATAATTATTCTTAATTCCACCTGCAGAATGGAATGTTCATAACTATATATTCTTTAGTTAACTAAGATTTCTAAATATTGAAACCTGATCGTGTTTTATCCAGTCATATATCATGCTATTAGTACATTTTAATTAATTTAAATCAATTAAATAAAACCAGCATAATTACCAGTTATGTAGGTATTCTCAATAGATGAGTAGGTAGTCCCAGAAACTTGATTGGTTGTATGGAGGTGCGTGAGTGATAGAGAAAAGTGGTGTTGGTTAGAAAGTCAGAGTAAAATTCTAAGTGTCAAAGAGTTTAAGAGTTGAGTGTCCAAGAGAGTTTAAGAGTAGAGTGTTAGTCCCAGAGAATGTTTCTTGAGTCTCTCTCTCCGCATGTCCAAATCGTAATTCCCAAACTCCACCAACTCGTCTCTCTACCAACTAACTTCTCTTCCCTTTGTCCTAACTTTTAAAGGGCCAGACTCTCTGTACGTCATTAGTTGATAAGCCAATAGGAAACTGAAAGGTATGTTCAATCTATGGATCGCAATTTAGGTATTTGATCCGTAGAGGGCAGTCTTGCCTAACTAATCCTTCTTATCCAGGAAAGAGTTAACTTTTCCTGATTACGATTTTGACGTCATTTGGCTTATCTAAAATGACTACCATAACTTAGATTTGCTGTCAGTTCAAAGCGTTTGTCTCAGTCTTTGATCGTAATTTGTAAAGTTGACAGTTCTAAACTCAATTTCACCCCTTACTTACAATGGAACCTTGTAAAATTTAGAAAGTAAAATGAATTACTTAGTCTTCTCTGTCACTAGTGTCTGTGTTTATATAATGCATTCCTTTAGCTCAAGCTCAGTGGTTAGTGAAATCAAGGAAATTATGTGTTTTTGTTATCCTGAAGATAGCAAAATGGAGTCCGCTCTGTTCTGAGTGACTCTGGCAATATAAACTTTTAATTTCTTTCTTAGCACAGAATGTCTGCTGATATAAATATTCTGACAAAATGGTCAGGTGTTTATGTGCATGGTATTGATATTTATTCTGGGTATCTGTAAATTTGAGGTTTAAATCTTTTTCCCATTTTGTTAGAAAGGGTGGGGTGATGACAGGTAATTGGTGATAGGCTTGTATGTAGAGAATGGATATGATTTTTTGGGAGGTTTTGGAGTTAAACAAGCCCTTTAGCTTCTGGCAACCATTGTCCATGTACATTGGATGCATTTCTCACACAGTTTCTGTGTAGACAAGATTTCAATTGTATATATGGGAACTTATATTAGAGACATTGTATTAATTTTTGTAATGTGTCAAAGTCGCAAAGCTTGTTATTTTGAATCATTTGGGACAGGAAGGTTATCCTGTACCTGTGCCAGGCTTTGTAGTTTAAGTCTGCTATGAGATTGGAGAGAGCCTTCATGGAAAGTTCTAGGGTGATATGTGTGTCAGCATTGTGTTTGTGTCTGTATTTGTCCCAGAATCGGAGTATCAGCTCTGTGGTTAGTAACAGGTTTGGGTATTTGTGGTGCAGGGGTTTTGGAGTCCATACAAGAGAGGGCAAGGTATGTCCGCCCATTCCCATTTAAGATGCTTCGATACAAATCCAAGGGGTTGGTTTGGGTCTTGTGTGTGCTGCAATTAAGGGGTCCCAATTGTTAAATATCCTGGCAAAAATAAATATTTAAAGGGACACTATAGGCACCTAGATTATTTTATTGAGTATGTGTATGAGGTCCCACAAATGCCATAACATTGTGGGAAGAGGAAACCTAACCAGCACAGAGGGAGTCACAGCACTGGAACGAGGTAAGTGAAAAAGGTGTTTTTAACCCTTTCATTACCAAACATTTGGTGGGACCTAGTGAGTTAGGGACAGGGATACTATAGCTTTAGGAATACAGGTTTCTATTCTTAACCCTATTGAATTTCTTTAATGACGGTACTCTAGACATTAATCATCGTTTTCTCCATCACTGATCTCTTTTTATTAGCACTACGAGCAGAATTCAGAATCCACAAACAATGCCCATCCATTGCCTAATTAGTATGGTTTGTGATCAGGCTACATTTTGGCTTGGAGTTCAGTAAATCGACCAATAACACAATTGGCTCAAATTTGGAAAAATTGCAGTTACAACTGAAATTAATCTCCAAGTCTAGTGTCTTGGCTTGTCTTCTAGGGTGCTGAAAATGCATTCCACCATGTGGGCTGAATCTTTTTATGAGGCATACTATCCAGGTTTTTAAAGTTAGTCACAATTGCAAACCTGGAGGAATCATAGCACATTCATCAGGTGAATTTCTACTGTCCAGGTGTCATTTTTGCCCGACAATTGCTAGTGGTGAGTGGACATTTTGAGCCCTGCTTACTCTATGTGAATATTATGTCTATATACAGTGACA